GAGACTCCAACTCAAAAAAAAAAAAAAAAAGTCCTGTCCATAAGGCATAGGGCCATGTTACCCAATCTTTACCTCCCTATGCAGGAATTGACCTGGATCTTGAAGAATGTGCACCCCTTGCCTGTGTTGAATACCCTATAGATGATCAATTTGGGGATGATGGCTTCTTCCTAATCACATGAAGAGTCACTTCCAAGTTCAATGAAATGGACTTGGAAGTCTTCTGTGTCTCGACTTCAGGTGACCAGCTGAACGGCGGAGCATTTTCCTTTCTTGTAGATGCAGTTTCTCAGCCTCCTGTTGCTTCTTCTGCTGTTCAGACCTCTTTAGTGTGAATGTCAATTGTTTGAGGCCAACAGTGGTGTCTGACACATACAATGTCCCATTTTTTGCCTCAATTTTCAAACAATCCTCAAGGGTTTTATTCAGTTTTTGCTTCATGGCAGAATCTTTGAATCTTCTAAATTCTTCTCCTGCTTTGATCTCATAAAACTAGAGCTTCAGCACTGTCTGCTGGTCCTCCTTGCGCCGTTCCTGCTGCTTCACTTTTTCCTCCTGCTGCAGAAGTTTGCGCTGCTTCCTGACCTCTTCAACCCAGTCTTTTTCATCATCTGAACTCTCTGAACTTTCTGCATCACTTGCTTTTCCCTCTGGTTCTTCCTCCTCTTTTCCATGAAGTTCTTGTTGCCTAAAAGTCTTAGTTTCTTCTTCTTTTTTTCACTAATTTTTGAAACAAATGGATTCAGAAGACTAAATTCTTCACTCTCTTCATCTACTTAGAAGTCAGGGTTCTCAAACATAACTTTAAATCGATAAGAATATTAAGGCTCTTAACTTTCTTTTTCCATATAGATTTTTGTTTCTGCTCTTCTTCCTCAATTAAGTGCCAGCTCTTTGTTAACTTTTGGTAATTTCTCTAATTGGACTCTCTGTGCACGTGTTTCTTCTATTTTCTGTCGTATTTTATCTTTTCTATATTCTTCATAAGCAAATGGATTTACCATCAGTTTCACCTTGTGATAGAGTCTTATATCCATGAAAAATCCATGCATATATGCCCGGAGAAAAGAAGATTAAATGAGATGTGTGAGACCTAAATTTTCAAGGTCCTTCTTAGTGACAAATTTGTAATCATTGTAAACTGTGCTTTCTGGATTCTCCTCCAATTCCTCTGTCAGGTTGTCTAAGAAGTAACACCACCTAGGAGCAGGACCCAAAACAGGAATGTAATAGATGCCCATCTTGGGGTTTTCATTGGCAATAAGTAGCATTCCTGAGTTGGGATAGAGACAAACATCATTAAGGTCAAGTTCTGGCTGCAATGAAGTAAATATTTTTCCTGAGTTCTTATTCCACATTTTGATAATTCGAGAGTCTGCAGACAAAATCAAATCCAATGAATCCTGGAAATGAACTGACTTAATGGGCAGCCCATACTGGTGATCCTTAACTAGCAATGGCTTGTCAGACCAAAGATCATATAATAAAACCTGCCCGTGGATGTTCCAACTGCCATAGTCAAGGCACCATTAAATTTCAAAGCAGAGATTGTTGGCAAGCTGTTTATCTCTGAATCTGCTGTGACACTATTCAATGCGCAGTCTAACAGGCCAACTCTATTTCGACTTCTTGGGTCCCAGCACTCTACTCTACCCTCTATTGTTCCTTTGGCAAACAAGCCATGCACTGAATTTATATCACAAACATTTTTCTCCGCAGCATCAGTTTGTAGAGGATTCAGGTACCGTCCTTGTTCTAAATTTAACCTATAAACTTCAGAACTTGCACCAACAAAGTACAAGTCGCAGGATGGATAGTGGTAAGAGAAATCTCTCCCAAACTTTGGTATTCTGGTTTTGTAGTAAAAACCTGATTGTGAATGAAATTCAATATATCTATCATTGTGTAAGAAGACAATCTTTGAGTAGACATCAGACAAAGTCTCAAAGGTGACAACTTCTGAATCTAAACACCTTTCAAACTTCAAAGGTAACTGATAGGTGTCATAACATTGAATCCGAGGTTTATATGTTCCAGTTGCTAAAATATACTGTCCATCTTTTGACACCTTAATAGTGGTACAAACAGTAGGCATTTCAAAATCTTGAATAAGTTCAATTCTCCTACGGACATCTACATCTTTCTTCTGTAGTGCTCTCTTCTTCCTCAGGAAGTGATTTGCCGCAGCTGAGACTGTAAATCTTCACCTCATTGAGGCTGGAGACCTGCATGGTGGCGCCGAGGGCCAGAGAACCCTGCCCTGGGCCAGGTTAGCCTTCCACCTGAGCACTCCAGCTTCCGAATTCCTGGGCCTTCGTTGTGCGTCCGCAGCATGCCAAGAAAACTTTTTTTTTTTTGAGTTGCAGTCTCACTCCATCACCCAGGCTGGAGTGCAGGGGCATGCTCACAGCCACTCCAGTGTCGACCTGCTGGACTCAGGCAATCCTTCCGCCTCAGCCTTCCAAGTAGTCGAAACTACAGGTATGCGCTACCATGCCCGGCACATTTTTTGATTTATTGTAGAGACGAGGTCTCTCCAAGTTCCCCAGGCTGGTTTCACCTCTGCCTCCCAAAATGCTGGGATTACAGACTCGAGCCACCATGCCCGGCCTAATACTATTGTCTTAGTACTAAAAAACTTCTGATTTAATATAGAGATACATATTTAAACATGTAGGAATAAAATAATGCCTGGGATTTGCTTCAGAATGATCTGGGAGAGGGAAATAGGTGGGTTTATTGTAAATAAAAATTGTTGGAACTGGGTGATTTATCAAACTTTTCCTTTTAGCATATATATATATTTTCATTAAAATGGTGAAAAGGAAAAAATAGGACAATATGATTCCAGTTTTCACCCACAAAATTAACATTTTAAAATCTGATCATTCTAAGTGTTGACAAGAACATGAAAAAGTGGGAACTCTTAAACACAAACAGCAGGATCATAAGCGGCACAACCAATTTGGGAGAAACTTTGGTATGAAGACATACATTCTTTCTCTTTTTTTTTTTTTTTTTTGAGTTGGAGTCTCACTCTGTCACCCAGACTGGAGTGCAGTGGCCGCTCCCGGCCACCGCAGCCTCGACCTGCTGGGCTCCGGCGATCCTTCCGCCTCAGCCTTCCGAGTAGCCGGAATTACAGGCATGCGCTACCACGCCCGGCTGATTTTTTGATTTATTGTAGAGATGAGGTCTCGCTGCCCAGGCGGGTTTCGAACCCGCGGGCTCAGGCAATCCATTCACCTCAGCCTCCCAAAGGCGCGGGATTACAGGCTGAGCCACCGAGCCCGGCTTTTTTTTTTTTTTTGAGGTGTAGTTTCACTCTGTTGCCCAGGCTGGAGTGCAGTGGTACACTCACAACCACTGCAGCCTCGACCCGCTGGGCTCAGGCGAGCTTCCATCTCAGCATTCCAAGTAGCTGGAAGTACAGGCGTGCGCCACCATGCCTGGCTAATTTGATTTATTGTAGAGACGGGGTCTCACCATGTTGCTCAGGCTGGTCTTGAATCCCTGAGCTCAGGGAATCCTCTCGCCTCTGCCTCCCAAAGTGCTGATTACAGGCTTGAGTCACAGCACTCAGCTTTTTTTTTTTTTTTTAATTCAGGCTGTCATTGAGGCTAGAGTGCAGTGGTAAGATTACAGCTCACTGCAGCCTCCAACTCCTGGGCTCAAGTGATCCTTCTGCCTCAGCCTCCCAAGTAGCTGGGACTGTAGGCATGCACTGCAACGCTCAGCTAATTTTTTAATTTTTTAATTTTTTTGAGTTGGAGTCTCATTCCATCGCCCAGACTGGAGTGCAGTAAGTGCAGTGGCCGCTCCCGGCCACCGCAGCCTCGACCTGCTGGGCTCTGGTGATCCTTCCGCCTCAGCCTTCCAACTAGCTGGAACTACTACCTCGCCCGGCTAATTTTTGATTTATTGTAGAGATGAGGTCTCACCAAGTTGCCTGGGTGGGTCTTGAACCTGCGGGCTCAGGCAATCCACTTACCTCGGCCTCCCAAAGCACTGGAATTACAGACTGAGCCACCAAGCCCAGCCTTTTTTTTTTTTTTTTTTTTAAATAGAGACAGTATCTCGCTGTGTTGCCCAGGCTGGTTTCAAACTCCTGGGTTCAAGCAATCCTTCAATCTCAGCCTCCTAAAACGTGAGATTACAGGTGTAAACCATAGTACCCAGCCTTGAAGATGTATATTCTTTACTATCCAGCTGTTCCCCATCTAGACATAATCCTAGAAAATCTTGGTTGTAGAAACGTACAAAAAGTTCATAGACTCATTGTTTTTAATCACAAAAAAAACTAGAAAGTAGGCTGGGCATGGCGACTCATGCCTATAATCCCAGCACTTTCAGAGGCCAAGGTGAAAGGATTGTCTGAGCCCATGGATTCGAGACCAGCCTGGGCAACATAGTGTGACTTCATCTCTACAATAAATCAAAAAAATTAGCCGAGCATGGCGGTGATTGCCTGTACTTCCAGTTACTTGGAAGGCTGAGGTGGGAGGATGGCTTGAGCCCAGCAGGTCGAGGCTGCGGTGGCAGTGAGCATGCCACTACCTTCCAGCCTGGGCAACAGTGAGACTGACTCAAAACAAAACAAAACAAAACTAGAAAGTACCAAATACCAATTTGTAGAAGAATGTGTGAGTAAATAAGTGGTGGTATGTTTACATAATGGAATAAAAGTGAATTAACTGGAGTGTCATGCATCAGTGTGAATACATCTCACAGATATTTGGTGAACAAAGTATTCTGCAGAATACAAATATAATGCCATTTATTTAAAATATACAACCACATAAAACTAAACAATATGCTGGTAGGGCGGCATCCATATATAGGAAATTTATAGAGAAAAGCTGAGACTGATAAGTTCAAAATTCAAAATAGTGGTTATTTCTGGAGAGGGAAGCGAGGGGACTATAATTCAGGGTACAAAGAGAGCACCAGAGAGATGGTAAGGAGGTGTTGCTTCTTAAACTGGTAGGTGTACATTATACTATTCTTTAGTCCTTTTGTATACAGTAAAATAACACATAATTTAAAAAATAAATTATTTTCAGTAAAAGAGGGGACATGATGGGAGAAGTGGGGAAAATGATGAAATTCATTTCAGTTCAACAATATAATTACTGAGAACAGAGTAATGAAAACTTGCCTATCCTACAAGGAACACAGTCATCTGCCAGAAGAAAAATGCTGATTCCTCTCAGACCAAAAGTGAAGACAGCTACTGTGAAAGCATCAGCTCTAGCCAGACTGTTAATGATGCTCCCAGAAGTCACAGCATCAGTGGGTTTTTGGTCCTGGGTGAAGGGATTGAGCCCTGAGCCCTGACTTCCCTTTCCACCCACTCCGTTTCCTCCTGCGTTTTCAGAGTGGCTTCTAGGTTTGTCTTTAATGACACTCGTGCAATAAATAGAATACAATACAGTGCTGAATGCATCTTTCATATAGCTTTCTGAAGTGATTCAATGCTTCTGGGAAATGGAACAGACATAGTGTGAGTGTGAAGGACTCGAAACCTGTTGCTTTCTCCTGATGCCAGGTAACTGGGAAGACCATGTTGAGGCCTTCATTCTAGGGTTCTTGCTTATTGGGCGAGTCAACTCTTTAGAAGCTGCCTAACTACACCAGTGCCCAATTCCAGGGGAAGAAGACATAAGTGTGTGCCAGGCTTCCTGTCTAGTTAGGCTGAAGGCAAATACTGTTGGCCATCCCAGAAGGGCACTACCTCCTGCCACCTCCAATTTCTGGCTTCCTTGTGGCTTTCCTGGGGAGTGCCCAGCTTCCTCGTGGCCTTCCTGGGGAGTTCCCAGCTTCCCCATGGCCTTCCTGGGGGAGTCCCCATCCTCCCCATAGCTGTTCTGAGGAGCCCACAGTAGTAGAAGCCTGATGGGCAATCTGATCCCAGGGTCAGAGTGCAAAGTGCTGCAGACTCTGGTTCCTTAAACACCTCTTGTCATATCTGTTGGAATTCGAGGCCTTGCATGGGCTCTCTCCAGCTTTTCTCCACCTTTCTGGGTGCCATGATGATATAAGAAATGTCAACTGAGTGTCTGCAGATCTGAAAGAGACCAAACAATCACAGGGCTGTCAGTCTCCCCAATCCCAGCATCTCTGTTTTCCCCAAGAGATCCTGCCTCATCTAGCTTTGTATCTATTATCTTACTTCCAAACCCACTGTACTGTACTGCCCCTCTGGATACACTTATCATAAGCAGTTGTTTCCTATTATTTTGTACCATTTTGCCTCATTACACCAGTGTCCCTCCTGGCATCTTCTGAGCTCTTGGACATCTCTAACACTGTCTCGGTGACAGAAACCTAATACTATTACTACTACTAACCAACACTTAGTGAGGACTTGATATTTGCTAGGTCCTTCCTGTTAGGAATACTTTACATATGCCAGGACATGTTCTGGGCACTTATTTACATACTATTCCCATTTGACAGTGATGGAAGCCTGATGGGCAGTGAGGAAACCGAGGCACAGAGGGGTTAAATGACTTCCCCTAGTAACTTTTTACTTGCTAGTAAGTGAAGAAGCCAACAGACAAACCCAGAAAGCCTTTCCCAGAGCCTGTACTTTAACTACTAGGTTACAGGGGCTGTCTCCTAAATGCCAAAGTAGGTCAGGCAGAATCCCTTCCCCCTCTCCCTCCTTCCCATAGCTTACAACGCATGACAGCTTCTTTGACTTGATGAAAGCCACCATCAGGGCCTCCGCCGTCCACGTAGTACATGAATCGGAGCTCAGGGGGATAGGCAGCTCTGGTCAGGCCCGACAACAGGGGGATGGTGCGGCCCTCGGCCCCCGGGGCCTCAGTCAAGGCCTGCAACATCTGATACTTGCACCAAGGGTCCCGTAGGAAGCCTGGGGTGATGAGCAGCACCCGACAGTGACTATTGCTCAGTGCCTGGCACAGCTCAGACACGATGGCACTGCCTGGGGTTGCATCCCGAAGCTGTATGAAGCAGCGCAGGCTGGCAGTGCTACCTTCCAGGTAGGAGACCAGTTCCTGGGCAGCCCCTAGGTCCTCCTCACTGTGGCACACGCAGACATCATAGTCTTTGCTCCAGCGGTTGCTACTGCTGTCGCTTGTCTGCTTCGGTGGTGAGCTGGGAGATGTGGCTGAGTGGAGGCTCAGGGGTGGAGAGCTGTCCTGTGAGGTGGACTGTGAGGCATCACTGGGGGTGCTTTCTGAGGAGTCTGGCATCTTGGGCTTCCTCAGCAGGGCTTGCCTGAGCCAGTCTGTGGGAAGAGAAACATACTCTAATCAGGCCTATGCCTTCTAACTGGCCATGCAGGGAGGAGGCACAGCTCAATGGGAGGATGGACAGGACTCTAGCCCATCTCCCTGCTCTGGGAAACAGACCTTAACCTATTGCTCTATTTTTGTACATCCCTCTGGACTTGCCTGAACATACCCAATCTTTAGAGGTTTGGGGAATGTATAAGAACATTGGAATTCTTATGTGGAATGTTTTACCAGCCTGATTAAAAGAGATGGTCTTGCCCTGCTCCAGGCCCTTTTATATCTGGTATACTAGCTCCCCTTAAGCAGAACTTGCCACAAGGGTTGATTAGTCAACCATCTGTGAGTCTAAGCAAAGCTGTGTTATGCTAGCGAGGATTAATCAGTCCCAACGCCCACTTCCAGCACTTGAGAAGTGAACTTAGATTAAGAAAGGCTACTCATGGAAAGAGAAGAGTAGGGAGGATTGATATCTGTTTGGACCTGAGAAATTTTAGGTTGTGACTAAGTAGGCAACACGAAAGTATGGAACAGGGAAGATACTGCTCAGGGACCCCCCCACCTTTGTGATTCAGAACCCACACTCTGGAGTCAAGAACACAGATTTGACTATGGACCTGCAACTTGCTTTCTGTTTGACCTTAAGCAAGATACTCTATATATCCTCATTTCCTCATCTGTAAAATGGGTTTATTTTAGTTGTTAAAAGTTAACTGAGCTGGGCTCGGTGGCTCAGCCTGTAATCCCACGCCTTTGGGAGGCTGAGGTGAGTGGATTGCCTGAGCCTGCGGGTTCGAGACCCGCCTGGGCAGCGAGACCTCATCTCTACAATAAATCAAAAAATCAGCCAGGCATGTAGCGCATGTCTGTAATTTTGGCTACTCGGAAGGCTGAGGTGGAAGGATCGCCGGAGCCCAGCAGGTCGAGGCTGCGGTGGCCGGGAGCAGCCACTGCACTCCAGTCTGGGCGACAGAGTGAGACTCCAACTCAAAAAAAAAAAAAAAAAAAAAAAAAGAGACCTCATCTCTACAATAAATCAAAAAAATTAGCCAGGCGTGGTAGCGCGCGCCTGTAGTTCCAGCTACTTGGAAGGCTGAGGCAGAAGGATCGCTGGAGCCCAGTAGGTCAAGGCTGCAGTGGCTGGGAGCGGCCACTGCGCTCCAGTCTGGGCGACAGAGTGAGACTCCAACTCAAAAAAACAAAAACAAAAACAAAACAAAACAAAACTCAGTTTCCCCCACTTTTGATAAGGACAGATAGTTTGGGGTTGTGGGGTTTTTTTTTAGTTTTTTCTCTCTGCTTGCCTTTTTTCCTCTGAGCGGTTCCAGAACAAAGATTTAGATAACAAGAGCCACATTGTTAAGCACTCAGCACAGTGGTTCCCAGGATAAGAAAATCAGCTGATCTTAGCCAGGTATGGTGGCTCACTCCTACAATCCCAGCACTTTGGGAGGCCGAGATGAGAGGATTGTCTGAGTCCATGGGTTCAAGACTAGCCTGGGAAACCTGACAACCTCATCTCTACAATAAATCAAAAACAATTAGCTAGGCATGATGGCACATGCCTCTGTAGTTGCAGCTACTAGGAAGGCTGAGGCGGAAGGATCGCCTGAGCCTAGCAGGTCGAGGTCGAGGCTATGGTGGCTGTGAGCGTGCCCCTGCACTCCAGCCTGGACAACAGAGTGAGACTTCGACTCAAAAAAGAAAAAAGAAAATCACCTGATCAGGCCTGGAGAACCTTTGAGCCAAAAGGATGAAGATGCAGCTGATGAATGACTCCCCTCCCCACTCTCCACAAAGCATCTGGGCACTGAAGTCAAGTCAGGAGCTTCTTCCCAACAGCCTTCCTGTATCTCTCCCGCATTTGAACCAGGCAGGCCTCCTACCTCATTCATATGGAGATGAACAGAATTAGGAGTCTGGTTCCACTCACCAGTCATCTTGCCCAGAGGCTTCTTAGACCGTGAGCGGGGAGCTGGGAGGGAGGATGATGATGCCATCGTATTGGGCTCAAAACTAACCCCATGAGACCAGGCATTGGTGAAGTGGGAGAAGGAAGGAGATTCAGTCTTGACCGCATAAAACAGCTATCCTGCAAGGGGCAGAGAGAGAGAATCACAAAAGCTGTACTTACCCTGCTCTTAGTCCCAGTGGGTAGCCTCCAAGAAGTTGTTTTTCACCTAATACCTGGCAGGGCTCCATCTCTAGATGGACCCCTTCCTCCCTCATGGGATTAGGGGCAGACATGACCGTGATCAGAGCTGGTTTCCGGATAAGGTCAGATTTGTGCAGTGTGGTCAGACTTACAGGATATGAACTGAGCATGCCCAGCTGAGTAACTGTTCTCTGTTCTACCTAGCCAGGAGTGTAGTCAGGATCTGGGGAAGGTCAGCTAGCAAGCAGCTCTTTAGAGGGACTTCCTGTGTAAAAGCTGAAATAGGAGAAGGATGGTTGCTATTTGGACAAATAAGTATGCATCTAGGTAGACGCCGAGCAGTGGAGAGAGAGCACACGCAGGAAACCTTGAGAGACTTCCTCCAAGCTGGCCTTCCCCCGAATAACTCCAAACATCCACTCATCCATCCTGCAACTGTCACCTCAGGAAGGTCATGTCACAAAGTGGTGACTGCAGACTCTGCAAGCAGAGTGTCAGATTCTTACCTCTTGTTAACCATGGCCTTTGGGAATCTTGCTGAGCTTCAGCTTCTCCATCTGTGAAATGGAAATAATACTACAACTTACTTCTCAGGATTATTGTGATGATTGAGATAATTTATGTAAAGTTCTAATGGTGCCTGGCCTATAGTAAATGCCCAGAAAATGTTGTGAGTTACTATGTATTTAACATGATCAGCTATTGGAGGGATATATTATGTTCATAGCTTATAAGACTTAATATTATGATGCTAATTTTCCCCAAACTTATCTGTAGTTCAGTGCTATCCCAAATTCTACAAGAGTTTTCTTTTTGCGATTAAAAAATTTTTTTTGGTGGGGGTGTTATCAAAGTGCTTCTAAGTTATATGGAAATACAAAGGCCCAAGAATACCTTAGGTTGTTAAACTGCCATGTTCTTGCCCTACCACAATGACATGGGCTGGCAGATGAAGGGGTGGTAGAAAACTTGGTTCTAGAGCTGTGGAGCAGTTGGCAGAGGGCAACTTTCTCCCTTTTTTGCCAGATCTGCAGAGATCAAGACCAACCTTCTGGGAACTCACAGAAAGAAGTTGTATTATTAGAAACACTGAAATAAGAGGCTTCGGAATTTAAAGAATGTCATTCTATGTTGGACATTAATGCTTTGTTCACTGATGCCAAACTATTATACCAAGCTGATGAACAGAAGACAAGAAATGCTGAGGACTCATGAATATACATAAAAGGATTTTTTGTTTTGTTTTGTTTTTTTAAGAAGTAGAAGAAACCAAGCACGATGGCTCATGCCTGTAATCCCAGCACTTTGGGAGGCCGAGGTGAGAGGATTGCCTGAGTCCAGGGACTTGAGACTGGCCTGGGAAACTTAGCTAGACCTCGTCTCCACAATAAATAAAAAAATGAGCTGGGTGTGGTGGAGCACACCTGTAGTTCCAGCTACTTGGAAGGCTGAGGCAGAAGGACCACATGAGCCCATCAGGTCAACGTTGTGGTGACCGTGAATGTGACACTGCACTCTAGCCTGGGAGGCAGAGTAAGATTCCGACTCAAAAAAAAAAAAAAAAAAGAAGTAGAAGAAAAACTTCAGCAGTAAAGTGGAAGAAGGAAGAGCTGGAAGTGGTACAGGAACCAGAGAAGACATTTAAAAGACAAAGCAGCTAAATGTTAAGCCACCAAAGGAAACCAAAAGTTGGCTGATGGTGTGTGAGTTTCTTTTCCTTCCCAATACTTTTTTGGGTTTCAGACAACCGAAGTGGTAGGCTGAAGCTATGGTAGTGTTTTATATCATTATTGGTTTTCTTTTTTAGATTAGAAAATATAGTTTAGGGACATTGACTTGCTAGACTCTGGTGTGGCCATGTGCTCTTTGAGCTATGGCTGTCACCATGCTTCCTGGCTTTGGCCCCCTCCCACACTTTGGGGAGGTGAATCTTCTCTTTCTCTAATTTACTTTTAAATAAACTATATTTTCTAATCTAAGAAAAAAAAGAAAATATAGTTTATTTAGAAAGTAAATGAGAGCCGGGCTCGGTGGCTCAGCCTGTAATCCCGCGCTTTGGGAGGCCGAGGTGAGTGGATTGCTTGAGCCCGTGGGTTCAAGACCCGCCTGGGCAACTTGGCGAGACCTCATCTCTATAGTAAATAAAAAATTAGCCAGGTGTGGTAGCGCGCGCCTGTAGTTCCAGCTACTTGGAAGGCTGAGGTGGAAAGATCGCCGGAGCCCAGCAGGTCGAGGCTGCGATCGGCCGGGAGCGGCCACTGCACTCCAGTCTGGGTGACAGAGTGAGACTCCAATTCAAAAAAAAAAAAAAAAAAAGAAAGTAAATGAGAGAAAGAGAGAGGTGATTCACTTCCCTAAGGTAAGGGAGGGAGCCAAAGTTTAAGAAAACATGGCCTTGGCCGGTGCGGTGGCTCAAGCCTATAATCCCAACACTTTGAGAGGCAGAGGTGAGAGGACTGCCTGAATCCAGCCTGGGCAGCTTGCTCTCTACAGTAAATCTAAAAAAAAAATTAGCTGGTCGTGGTGGAGTACACCTCAAAAAAAAAATAAAAAGAAAAGAAAACATGGCCTGGCCATAGCTCAAAGAGCATATGACCACATGGTCACACATAGCTTAGCAAGGCAATGGCCCATTGTTTTTGTTGTTGTTTGTTTTTTGAGTTGGAGTCTCACTGTTGCCCAGGCTGGAGTGTGGCATGCTCATGGCCACCCCAGCATTGACCTGCTGGGCTCCAGCGATCCTTCCGCCTCAGCCTTCCAAGTAGCTGGAACTACAGGTGCATGCTACCACTACTGGCTAATTTTTTTGATATATTATAGAGATGAGGTCTCACCAAGTTACCCCAGCTGATCTTGAACCCCTGGGCTCAGGCAATCCTCTCGCCCCCACCTCCCAAAGTGTTGGGATTATAGGCTTGAGCCGTTGTGCCTGACCCAATCTTTTCAATTTTTTTTTAAAATTGGAGTCTCATTCTGTCACCCAGGTTGGAGTGCAGTGGCATGCTCATGGCTACCACAACCTTGACCTGCTGGGCTCAGGTGATCCTTCTGCCTCAGCCTTCCAAGTAGCTGGAACTGCTGGTGTGCTACTACACCCAGTTAATTTTTTATTTATTGTAGAGACGAGGTCTCACCAAGTTTCTCAGGCTGGTCTTGAATCCACAGGTTCAGGCAATCCACTCACCTTGGCCTCCCAAAGTGCTGGGATTACAAGCTGAGCCACCAAACCCAGTCACTTTATGAATTTTTTTTTTTTTTTTTTTGAGTTGGAGTCTCACTCTGTCGCCCAGACTGGAGTGCAGTGGCCACTCCCGGTCACCGCAGCCTCGACCTGCTGGGCTCCGGCGATCCTTCCGCCTCAGCCTTCCAAGTAGCCGGAACTACAGGTGCGCACTACCACAGCCGGCTAATTTTTTTGATTTATTGTAGAGATGAGGTCTCGTCAAGTTGCCCAGGCAGGTCTTGAACCCGCAGGCTCAAGCAATCCACTCACCTCAGCCTCCCAAAGCGTGGGACTACAAGCTGAGCCACCAAGGCCGGCTACTTTATGAATTTTTTAAAAGCACAAGAAAAATTGACTAGATATAAGGCCACACAGAAAATCAAAGAACAGGCAGAACTAGTGATTAAGAGCTTCCAGTTGGAGATTTGGGTTCATGACTTTAACTGCTTCACAACTATATCTTGCTATATGACAACTGTTACCAAGTCTTTAGAAAGATTAAAGGATGTTTGAAAGTGTGATAGTGGCCAGGATCGGTGGCTCAGCCTGTAATCCTCAGCACTTTGGGAGGCTGAGGTGAGTGGATTGCCTGAGCCCGCGGGTTCGAGACCCGCCTGGGCAACTTGGCAAGACATCATCTCCACTATAAATCAAAAACTAGCCGGGCGTGGTAGCACACGCCTGTAGTTCCAGCTACTTGGAAGGCTGAGACGGGAGGATCGCCAGAGCCCAGCAGGTCGAGGCTGCAGTGACCAGGAGCGGCCATTGCATTCCAGTCTGGGCGACAGAGTGAGACTCCAACTCAAAAAAAAAAAAGAAAAGAAAGTGTGATGGTGCCACAGCCCGCTACACAAGACCTAAAATGGAACAAGACAAGTGATATGGGGTTTTAGACTCCAGGAAACAGGCAATGTGTTTGGCTATTGAAACTTACCTGCCATCTTACTCAATTATCTTATCAAAGGTGCTATTGTTTCCTGTGATTAAACTTTTCTATAATGTTATTCATGAGGGCTTACACCATGCCACTTCCAGTGGTATATGCTGTTGGACAACATGATTTCTTTTTAACCAAGCAATAGAAAAGGCAATTACCAAAAATCAGCATGCATTGTCAAAACAGCAAGTCATTTCATAAAATGAGCAACTGATATTTTAAAATCTACACATGTGAAGTAGGTTAACATATTATGTCAATTTTTAACCTTTAGGATATAATTTCAGGCCAGGCACAGTGGCTCATGCCTATTATCACAGCACTTGGGAGGTCGAGGTGAGAGGATTGCCTGAGCCCCTGGGTTCGAGACCAGCCTGGGCAACTTGGTGAGACCTCATCTCTACAATAAAAAAAAAAAAAATTAAGGATGGGCTCAGTGGCTCAGCCTGTAATCCCAGCGCTTTGGGAGGCCGAGGTGAGCGAATTGCCTGAGCCCGCAGGATCAAGACCCGCCTGGGCAACTTGGCGAGACCTCATCGCTACAATAAATTAAAAAATTAGCTGGGCATGGTGGCGTGCGCCTGTAGTTCCAGCTACTTGGAAGGCTGAGGTGGAGGGATAGCCGGAGCCCAGCAGGTCGAGGCTGCAGTGGCCGGGAGCGGCTACTGCACTCCAGTCTGAGCGA